TTCAGGGAAATCATAACTTTTCACAGAGACGCTCAATCGGCACAAACTTTGCACTGTTGTAAAGAGCTGGTGAAATAACCTACAATACCGACTGCTCCGATTTTTGTTGCAGGTTTGATTTTTTATGACCCTACACGAAAAATTCAAATTTTGAGTGATTTTGGTTTTGAGCTTCTATCTCCTTAATTTGTATACGTTAACGAACATCATTATTTTTTCAGGCAAAGATGCAAAGAGCATGAGTTCCTCTCTTAGGCAAAATTTTGCTCTTACAAATTCGTTAAGAATTTAAAGAGTTATGAATTTTTGAAACTTTTTGTAACTTTTCATAGAGACGCTCAATCGGCGCAAACTTTGCACCGTTAGAAAGAGCTGGTGAAAGAACCTACAATACCGACTGCTCCGATTTTTGTTGCAAGTTTTCGATTTTTTATGACCCTACATAGAAAATTCGAATTTTGACTAATTTTCTTCTACAGCTCCTATCTACGCAACAGATCATTAGCAAGCATCTAAGAAGCCGTTATAAAGAGCATGACTTACTCCCTCAGAAAAAAATAAAAGCGTTCCAATAGGCTGGAAATTTCAGAAGTTATGAATTTTCGAATTTGGTGCGAAAGAACTTTCGGTTCAGCCTAATAAATCAAAAAAATTGACTTTATAAAGATCTGTGCTCCTATTTCATTGCATCGACAAAAAACGAAAGCAATAAGGTATCCCAAAAGATGTACAAGTTAGGAACAACTTACAATTCCTGCACGTCATCATCAACAATATCACTATCGGTAACGTCAGAGACAACAAATTCGCTGCCTGAAAGATCTTCTCCTTCTGTCAAAAGATCATCGGAGTGGAAGTAGAATTGCGTCAAAAAGCGTTCTGAGTCGAAAATAGATTTGAAACGTTTTTCTCCTTCTAAGCGCTCTTGTGTTTTTTTGGCCCTCTGGTAGCACCAGGAAGTCAGCAGGTAGCTGACCAGTTTCTTCATACTATCTTTTAGGATATTTCAAAAGTCATACAGTCGAGTAGATTTTCTGCTTAATATAGTGTGCTTGCACAGTTTATGAAATGCGGTAAAATTTGCGCGTGAACAGGTAGCTGCGCCAGCACTGCCGGCATTTTGCGCGCGTAATTGGCCGGCGTCACAGTCGAAGCTATTTCCTCACGAGCAAATTTTACCGCATTTCACCTTCTGTGCAAGCACACTATATTAAGCAGAAAATCTACTCGACTGTACGATGACAGCCTGTCTGGACCACTTATAGCAATCCTTTAAATGAAGTTTTTAGATATCAATATGTTCAGTAGAAGGTTGACAAATCTTAAGTAAATGCTTAGATGCTCCACCGTTGTACGAGTTCTGCGTTGCGTTCTGATAACAGAGAGTAGATAGAAAATCCCCTTTCCACCTCTGCCGTGCTAGTCGGAATTGGAACTATCTTTGCTAGTAAGCCCATCAGATTTTTGCGGTAAGTAATGGGGAAAGAGCCAGATCGCATATGCTTTCGCAATACGGGAAGTAAATATTGCATACTTTTTGGGCGTTGTCGAACTCTGGCTTCACCTCCTCTGGCTTACTCTTGTCAGCTGCGAGAAAGCCGCTCAACTTCTTCTTCAACAGCATCTGCGGAATAGCCGAAAAAAGTAGATACTATGCTGCGCGTTGGTTTTTTTCAATATTATAGGTCATATTGTCACAAGGCGAGATACTTCCAGCAGCATAAAGCACAGAGTTAAGTTTGTACTCCAGTCGGGATCTAAGAGCAGTAGCTATGCTTTGTAATAACACCTTCCTTTGTTCATATCCATGTTCGTGAATTTAGCAGCCTTGAAATCTTCAGCAACCTGAAGATCAGCAATGAACTTCTTGGACATTTCCTCATCGAGACTAGGCAATCTAGGCTTGGATTTCTGATGTACGAAATAGAGAGTTTCGCTCAATTGTCAACTCTGTATCAATGTCGACAACATATTCGTCGGCGTAAGATTCTCCTTTTGCTTCGCTGTTGAACTGGAACACATGCGAGTCATCTGCGATTTTGTAAAGTATTCTGCCTGCCGCTTCTTCTTCATTGCCAGCCTTTCCAAAACATTGAAGGATATTTTAATAACATGTTGTTCTTCTGAATGCCTCAAAGTTTTTGATTTATTGAAACCAACCATTCTCTACAATTAGGTGAGTATAGAGCGTTTTCACGAACGTGACCTTCTTCAGCACTAGTTTTACAGAGTATAGATTCCAGAAATGGGCGGGTTTTTGTGTGAAGGTGTGGAAATTCACCAATCTCCCATAGTTTTTTGAGTATGTGCTGATAATGATGGCACAACTGTCAATCAAAAGCGCATTTTTTACTAAAAAAAACATAAACATTTAACAGCGACAAGCACGCTTAAGTAGACGCGTTCGCTCGCGTTCCCGTTAGTGCTGATAACGATGTCAATCTACAGCACATTTTTTACTATTAGCTTGCTCCACCTCGCTCTTTCAATGTGTTGGCTTTTATCGGTTACCGGAGAAAATGATTTTTAGAGCCGGAAAGCAAAGAAGCCCTAACATGCTGTATACCATTCGAAAGCTGAGATCATGGAGAATCGACGTAGACAATCGCCTTTTTTCTAGATCCTCTGTGTCGCGAGATATGAGGAATTTTATGTGCTTTGAAAATTAACTGATTTTTTGTCCTCACTTTCTGCTCTCCAAATAAATTCTACGAGAAAGTCGACGGTCTACGTTTGTTAATGAAGACTTGCTCTTTCACACAGATAGATAACCAGCAGTGATTAGGTCTTCATTTGGCAGAAATCTGCTGTTGAAAATGACCATGTTTTCATATAAAATGCGGTGTATCTCTCGGTAGAGGGGGGCTAGAAAGAAGTCGACGGTCTAGGTCGAATCCCCTTTTCCTGAGCTTTCGAATGGTATATAGGTTACTGGGCGAAAAAACTAACCAGTTTTCAAAAGTGAGGTGGAGATATTTACTATTAGCTTGCTCCAACCCAGCTCCACCAATGTATTGGCTTTTATCGGTTACCGGAGCAAATGATTTTTAGAGCCGGGAAGCAAAGAAGCCCTAACATGCTGTATACCATTCGAAAGCTGAGATCATGGAGAATCGACGTAGACAATCGCCTTTTTTCTAGATCCTCTGTGTCGCGAGATATGAGGAATTTTATGTGCTTTGAAAATTAACTGATTTTTTGTCCTCACTTTCTGCTCTCCAAATAAATTCTACGAGAAAGTCGACGGTCTACGTTTGTTAATGAAGACTTGCTCTTTCACACAGATAGATAACCAGCAGTGATTAGGTCTTCATTTGGCAGAAATCTGCTGTTGAAAATGACCATGTTTTCATATAAAATGCGGTGTATCTCTCGGTAGAGGGGGGCTAGAAAGAAGTCGACGGTCTAGGTCGAATCCCCTTTTCCTGAGCTTTCGAATGGTATATAGGTTACTGGGCGAAAAAACTAACCAGTTTTCAAAAGTGAGGTGGAGATATTTACTATTAGCTTGCTCCAACCCAGCTCCACCAATGTATTGGCTTTTATCGGTTACCGGAGCAAATGATTTTTAGAGCCGGGAAGCAAAGAAACCCTAACATGCTGTATACCATTCGAAAGCTGAGATCATGGAGAATCGACGTAGACCGTCGCCTTTTTTCTAGATCCTCTGTGTCGCGAGATATGAGAAATTTTATGTGCTTTAAAAATTAACTGATTTTTTGTCCTCACTTTCTGCTCTCCAAATGAATGCTACGAGGATAAATAAATAATATGAATAAACATAAGTACCGTTACTTTTGTAAATTTATGAGAGTACTTGTTGTTTGAGGTACTTAGCCTGCAAAACCTTTTAATAACGATTTTTATCATATTCTCAGAGTACAATACCAATCTCAGCCCAGGTGAAGGGGGTCATCGGGAGTTTGGCCTTAAAGTGAAGGGGGTAAGATCCATCACTCCTCCTATCGCAACTATGGTCCGGATGCGATCACAAATCGAAATTGAGCCATTCACTATGTTCTGCCAAAGGTGATCAAGATTCATACTAGGAACCCACAAATCAACCGTAAAGAAGAATGCCTCGCAATCACGTGAGAACTATCTCCTTATCTGAGCCAACTATGCTGACCTTCCATTTAGTACTTCCATATACGGCCAGCCCAGCGGTCGTTCTACCAAGGGAATTGTTTGTGTGGTGAGTAACTGTTGCAAAGCTACTGGCCAAAATTAAGGCTTAGACCTTTTTCGTAAGGCCGTAAAGACATTTGCCCGTCTGGGTTACGATCGATACCCCATTCAGGCCCTGACGAAGGCGAGAAGCCGAAACGTTGGCCAATAAAGTTTGTAACAGTCTCGGCGTTGGCTACAAGACATCAATCTCAACTTATGAACTATGCCGAGATTTATCGAGAGTCGTACATGCTATTTAATAAATAAATAATTTCGAAAATTTCTGAGAGCCAGCTATAAATGCCAAGAAATTGCATCATACTGCACACTTTGTTGGATGTAGGGCGTTAAGTGACAAACACGATTTTTTTTACCTAAAGAAAACTCCCCGTGTAAAACGTCTCCGGAGCCAAAAACAGGGGGGTGGGGTTCGGACCGATACATTACTCGACGCCATTAAAAAATGGCGCATATTTTTTACTTACGGGCTTTACTTTGATTGCGTTTTGGACGTTTTGTCGCTTAACGCTTGCCCTCCCACTTTGTTTACTCTATTTAACTGTTATACTCTCTTGAAAAAATAAAAGTTTCCAAAAATAGCTAAAATAAGAGCAGAAAAAAGAATAGAGATAAAATTGATCTGAGGGTGAGTCTGAAACGGCGCTTACTAGTAAAGCGGACAATTTTTCATAAGACAGCTAGCTTTGTGCCTTATGTTTTCGAGCGTTAGTTGAAGACCGAAAACTTAATCTACGTCAAAAAAAGAAATCTTAACACGTATATTTGCTATAATGACTGAGATGCACTTTTTCAGATTTTATATGACTGACCTGGTAGACAGCGAGATAGTAGGGACGATAGTAATGGTCTGCTATGGGCGTTGTGAATCCAAACTGAAATTCTCGCCGCGGATAATGGAAGATGCCTCGATAGGATACGGCGATGTCGTCGTTGAACATTGTGCGACAGCCGTACTCTGGAATTTTGTATTGCACTTTTTGAGCTTGCAGCCCAAAGCTTATGCTGCAGAAGATGTTCGTTTCATGCAAATCAAGATTTTGTACAAGTAAAGTATTTTGAAATTTACGGTAATGTTGACGGCGTGAGTCAGTAACAACTTCCTTGACCGTTGATACACATTAACATCAGCGGTAGCCAAAACATACACTATTGCTAGCCATTGAAGAGATTTGCAAATACTCTCCGTGTTTTTGGCAGTGCCGCCGATTTGAGCGACATTAGTTCCGTACGGCGATTCTAAACCCTGCGCCGCGTCTGCGACGCTTCGGAAGCTTTGTCAGGCTCTGATCCGTCACCGACTGCCCCTTCATTTCCAAGATATTTTTTCTTTTGCTGATCATTTCTTTTCTTTATATTTGCTTGTATAGGATGTGGCATGTTCTGGGTTCTGCCTGTGCATACCAATTCTTTCTTCGACTGATGGAGGGAACTTGATTTGAAAAAGCTGACAAGGGAAGCTTGTTTAGTCGATGTGATGTTTCTAGGTGAGACTTTACCACTTTGAAGAGTATTGCACGACTCTAGTCTGCCTTCATTATCTGCCAAGCGCTTCTGGACGACGAGTTATGATCGTTTTTTGGAACGAAAAGCGAATACAAAGTTTAGGTGAAAACGATTGATACAATCTTTCCAGCGCTTACTCAAAGCAATGCTAAGTATCAGCACACTAGGCAAAATGTATCCATTGCATGAACTGCTCTGATATTCAACACCAGACCACTTGAGCAAATTCAAGCGATTTTGCTTCAGTTAAGCGTTTAATTTTTGACCAGAAAAATGCCCATAACTCGGCGCCCAGAGACGCTTGGCAGATAATGAAGGCAAATTTGGAATCACTATGCAATTCCAAAATTATGAGTCAAGGCCACTATACACGCTTCCCTTGTGAGTATGACTCAATACTGGTGTGTTCTAGTCTCTAATCCATAATGAAATTAGGTTTCGAGTGAGAGAACCCATCTTACAGTTAGGTCTAATTATCGCTGCGGATGTGATGGTCTAAGAAATCAGAAACTGCAGATTAACGAGAGAAGGACCAACTTAATCAAGAGAATTCCGCTTTTAATTGTAAAATTGCAGTCAATCTAGTGTCCACTCCATTAGCCGAAAATGAAATTGTTATGCACACAGAGCTCAAAACACAGACATAAACTGAACAAGCAAGTTGACGGAAATAAAAAGAAAAGAATAGCAGTTTGGGAAGACACGATCATATAATAAAAACGAAAACCACGCATTGAGTGGGGTCTGACAAAATACGTGACGACAAGTCGCATAGTGCAGCCGAGGCGGCCGCGCGTGATCTGAGCCACACGAGTCGATGACGCTGCCAATGATACAGGCTATCATGCATGTAGGCCGATGCATGGCGGTAATCACCAAAGCTTTCCCACACATTACACTCTTCTTCAGCCTTTGCCAGAGCGATTGAAGAGAGAGAGGAAAAGTGTTTTTTCGTTCGCGCATCATGTTGAGACAAGTTACCAGTGTGGTGGCTGGATAGTGTAATGCGAAATAAGTCCCTTACATACCTTCTAAGGCTACGTCACTTCAAGACGCCAATGTATATGTTGTCTGACAAGATCAAACTTGGTCTTCCACTCTCACTTTAGGGTAAATACTTCAAAACTTGTGAAGCACAAATCCAACCTTGTTGTAGCCGTCTTCATTTCAGCAGACAGCTGGTGGGCAAATTTGGTTTGATCTGGAGCAGGCCAACTGCGGTAGGGCACGGCACAGTTGAGACAAAATGAATTGAGGGCCGAGTGCGCATCCCACCACGGCCCGTAGTAACACCTCCCTGTTGGTAGTCGCGAATTTCGAATTAAAGTACGTCCCAGGTACGTGTTCGCTTCGGCCGCCTTTCATCCGTTTGCTACCTCTTATCATGTCCATCAGATAAAATCGATGAAAGTCGTGACTGTAGGTACTCGTCCTAGTGCGCATGCGACGAACCCAGCATGGACGTCATCACTTGCTAGGCAGACAAAGAAAAGTAGTGCGCCCAGAGTGGAGGAGCAGGAAGGTGCACTCATTCAGGGGTCGATCACGTCGAGTCTGTCTTATGCGCCACTGGCTATAGCAACACGATATCAACAGCTGATAAGCGTCCATACATCCAGGCGGCAAGAGCCCTTCTTACCTTATGGGCTTCTGCACTACTGTGCTTTGAGGTTTAGAAAAGGTGGGTTTATCTCGATTACGGATCATATAGAATTCTATTTTTTCGTTTGTTGTGCTTACGCTATTTTTTCTCTTTGGTCTCACATTGCAACCATTTAAGCGCCGATTTTTTCAGCCTGCCAAAATTCGCTAATCCCTTGCGTCTTATAAGGGAACGATACTTAGTGTCCGGGTCTTTTGAAATGAAATGTATACCAGTACACTCTTTTTCAAACGCTGATTCCGAATCCGATTTTCGTTTCTGCTGAACGTTTCTCTGAAAGAAGTGAAGGATTTTCGCGTCAAATTTCACCGCGCGAGGCACATACGATAGGAACACCAACATGGGAACATGTTAACATGCATTCATTTTCCGATCATTTTCATTTTTATAGGCAGCTCTTGAAATAAATGTAGAAAATACTCGTACAAAAATAACTCCTCGTTAAATTTTTTGAAGAGTAAGGACACGCATTTACTTCGAGGAAATCTAACTCTTACAAAGAAGCTTAATTGAGGCAGTGCAAAACTGAAAAATACAAAAGAATCTGAATTTACACCTGCGTCAGCTTGTGAGGCTAACGCGCTAGCCACTACACCACAACTACCGGCGTTGGTATTGGTGTTCCTTTCATATCTCTGGAGGGCAAATTTGGCACGAAAATCCTTCATAACTTCTTTCAGAGAAACGTTCAGCAAAGACGCAAATCAGGAATCAGCGTTCGAAGACAAGTGTAATGGTATATATTTTATTTCAAAAGACCACGGACACTAAGTATCGTTCCCTTATTAGCAATTTTCACTGCAACACCTAATGTCCCCTAGTTTTTGGGAAAGAGAACCGTCTATCGTCTTGACTAATAAAAAAGCGTACATTTGCGCAACTAAAGAAACAATTATCTCATATATACAATTCTTTTCCTAGGCTAGTTTATGCTTACGTGTCATTCTTCCTTTTCCTTCTACCACAGAATTTAGCAAGTAATGTCTAATAACACGAAAACACAGCGAGGAGGGAAAAATTGAATCACGACTTGTACCCTCCACTTTTAGCTCATCCACTACTGGCGCTGCGCTATTCACAACCCTTGCTCAAATCAATATACGCCATCACTGTAAAAGCGGTGGAAGAGTGCACACTTTTACAATTCTTGATACAGGCCAAGACAATTCGAAGCTTGCTTACAGCTCTATCTTGATCTTGCAATAAACTGCTGTCCGCTTCACCTTTACATCGCTACCGATTAGCAAGCAAGGTATCTGTAATGTAATGTGAGTGCGCGCAGGCAAGCATCGAAGAAGGATTCAATCTCGCGTGCGAGTGCAAGTTCTGCGGGCGTCAAGGCATGGTCGTGAGCAGCATGTTGCTCAGTCCAAAACGTCATGACCTCGCTTTCTTTACAGCGACATAATTAGGGAATTTACAACGAGCCAAGGTCCTGCGATGAAGACGACTATTACGGGGAACTACTGAACTACTTTCTTTTGAAGCCTCACAGTTAGATGATGATGACAGCAGGGCCGGGCATGAGTTCGTTTCTAGGCTTCATAAAAACAAAATCCTCCTTGACTTCCGCAAAATCTCACAAAGCTTCCTTTGACCCTCAGCATTAAACGTAAAAAAACCCTCAAGAAACGAAACAACGTCGCAGTTCTTGGCCACCGATACCTCCTTTACTCCCCCCCCCTCTCCCGAAAACGAAGTCCAACTTGCTCCCAGTTGGTTTGCGGCGGGCCCTGAATGACGTCTCTTACATGCATGCGACAGTAGCAAGAAGGTTACTTAAACACCCCTACATTCTAGAACTGTATGTCGCGGATTCGCGACTTCCTTCAAAGGAGGCCGCCGCCGCGGTGCGAAAGGGTCCTGAAACGCCGTCCTCGCGCTGTCCCGCCTCTCACCTCTCTCACCTGCGCAGCTTTCGTTTAAGTCACGTAGTCAGTCTACGCTGCTGTCGCCATCGTGAGCGGTCGGGTTCCATCTTCGTCTCAATGCCACCGATCGATACAGCGCCAATCCCATCTCACGCGTCACATCCATCTACGCCACGGAGGACTGGCACCCCGCGCTAACGAGGTAACCCCGAGCGCGATCGCACCTGGCACATGCCGGCGACACCGCCTCGGGGGGTTTTCGATACTGCTGGCCCCTAGGGTTGTAAGATCTTGGCTGGTTGTGCTCCACCCCATTGTGTTTGAGTCTAGGGATTAGTTGTGGATAAATGGTGGGCATTTTACTCGTGTGTATTGTACTGAAGCGGTGAGCCACAGCCCGGCTGTGGCTCCGGGGATATTTGTGTCATCAATGTTGTGTCTTATAATCTAGCCTAGTGGAAACATCTGTAGGACGGCTGGCACGATCCATGGTAGTGCCACGGTTATGAGTACACGCCCCAGCTGTCGATAGTTGGGAGAAAAGATTGAGTCGCAGGTGTCGAGCAACTTACTAAGCAGGCTGGTGGCAAGGGCCCCTACGTGTGTATAGAGTTCCCATGTGGCAGGCACTAGTAGCGTTCACACAGGTATGCCACCACAATAGTCGTTTCACCCTTTCACGGAAGGGACCCCTGGCTCCCCTCGCCGATGCAGGAGAGCCTAGATACCACTGACGGTGGGAGCTGGGGGCCCAATCCGCGACACTGTATATCTTCTTCAGCGCGTGTGCCTACGCTTTGAAAAAAATCTGCCAAGTGATGGATTTAAAGTAAGGAAAAAAGTGCATAGATGAGGAGTGTTGTAAATGCCTAACACTTCAAGTTGACCATCCCTCAGTTTCTGTATACATTTTTACCACCTACTTTCCTTCATGATTTTCCACAAAAAGGGCAGAAGTGTGGGATCGAGCTTCTTTGTTGTTGGTAATATCCAATTTTTATTGATATCGCTTGAATTGTCGTGTTTCTTCTCGGCTAGTGCCTCCGGAATATCGCCAGCGAGGATCGGTTCAAGGTTGACCATCGAGTTGTCGCCAACCTGCAAAATTGAATATTGAAACGCACGAAAATCCAAACGAAGGTGGTACCTTTGTATAACCGTAAAGTATCTCATATCCAAGTTTGTGCATCATTTCGACTGTTCTTGGCATGTGTCTCATTGTCATCGTGCGTGATGTAGAGTCGAACGCAAGAATATCAACAGAATATCGACGAGGTTGCTCGAGTTTTTCTGGGCCTTTCCGTTTTCGACCAAACTTATCAAAAGATTCTGTATCGTCAACAATATACACCTGCATTACAAGCAATAAATTTTCGCCACAGCTTTTCAAAGCAACTACTTTGTGTTTTTCTTTCATGAAGTCTGTCATTCCTGCAAAAACTTTCTGAAATACTTGTTTTGTGTTGTTTGTGCCCTTCTCCTTCTGATGGCAACGTATGAAAAATGCGTCACCATTTGCAAGAAATCGCTTGTTCTCTGGAGCCTAAAATAGCTCATATTTGGCAACTGTACCATTCGATAAGTGCTAAATCTATCTTATACAGACCTCCACCGTTGCAACTTCTACGTACTTTTTTGCATTAGATGTTTTACTGCGAATCCCTCCTTCAAGAAAAATGACCTAGAATTGTGATCATGACTTTGAGTTACTTATATGTGCAGGAAAGCTACCTTACCTTACATTTCACGTCTTTAGTCACAGTTGGAAACTGGGTGAAATGAGGATGAACATACATATATCCCTCACTGTCCATAGTCGCAAAATCATAGTCATCATATTTGCACTTCAGTTGGCGCAAACGTTCACCAACATGGAAAGACTACAAGTATTTCTGTTGCATAGAGAAAAAGGATCATTTTTTGTACAGCCATTGGTACCATATGGAACAGAACACTAAACCATGCACTTTTGATGCATGGTTTAGTGTTCTGTTGCACAAAAAATCTGGTTCCGCAGAGCTTAGTCTTTGCGAAGAATTCCTACCATAAGATATTATTATCAAAAGAAACACATAGTACATACATATAACATCTCGCAAGTGCACATATAAATAAATGGTGACATCATTCTGCGTGGAAAAAAAAGTAAGTGAGAAGCAAAAACACGGCAGACTTGCTGTATTTTATTAGAGCTACAAATTGAAAAAAGAAACAAGCCAAGATGCGAAACTGCCCTTTCATTCTGCTTTCTAGATTTTTAGAAATTTTAGAATCTAACATTTCTCAAAAGCCATCCCTAGCATTGCTCTGAAAGGATTATGCCAAGTCGTCTTTTGCCTATTTCGTACTTGTAAATGTTAGATGAGACTTGTTTATGCTTTACAAATCAGACTTCGTTGAAATATTTGAGGAGGAACGCTGCAGCAATTTCGAGTACGGATCAGCCGGATAGGTTGGAAAAACTTTATGCTATACTTCAGCGTATTTATGCATAACATAAATAAAGTAACAATTGAATGGTCAAAAATCGAAGTGGCCAATCCGAACAGGCTGCAGACGATTAGATGTAACATAAAACGCTGGCTTTGAATCTACTTATTATGATGTATTTCATATCTGCTTAGCGCCTATGTGGGCGAAGTTACGAGCCGTTAAAAGCCGTTATTTTGCTAAGAAATCGTGCCTAAAAAGCCACAATTTGGCAGTACAGAGTTATGTTCGGCTTAGTGCTTGGCCAAAACACGCAGCTAGGTTACTTTATATTCTTAAAGAGAGCTGAGCTGAAACTGCAACATGGTGCTCAATTTCGCAGTTTTTATGTACAATCTTTTCGCAATAAAACTGCCCACAACTTCGTTCACAAAGACGCTAAGCAGATATGGAATACAGATTTAGAATCAGCGTTGAATGCTGCATCGAATATTTGGCAGTTTGCTTAAATTGGCCGCTTCGATTTCTACCACTTCGTAAATCATGGCTTTGTTATGCTCGATCACAAAAAATCAGTGTTGTTCTCTCTTTGAACGCTTTGACGCACAATTATGCTCACAGTCACGCACAACAGAGTGTTACAAAGACAGTGAGTGGTGGTGAGCGAAAGTAAGACACTGAACTCAATATCCAAAGTGAGTTTGCATATCTTATCTCCTGCTTTTCTCTACTCCTCTGAGAATGTTCGAAAGCTGGAGGAAACATTGCAAAGAAATGATGTTGTTTAGACTAAAACCGAGATTGTTATTTTATCGGGATTTTTTCCACGCAAATTGTGCGCTAATATGTAAAAACGAAGTTATATTCCACTTTTTTTTGAACAGTGAGATGAGTGCTGTGCCAACTAAATTTAATAATTTGGCAATTTGACTCCGTAGCTCCTGCAAAAATTTGAAAATTTACCCAAAAATGTATTTATTTTATCTATGCTTACAATGATGCGCCAAACAAACGTGATAGTTCAACATGTTTGTCTTAATATAAAATAAATGATGAAAAATAATAACGTCAGTTTCTCGAAAAATCACACTATCCTGCAAAAAGAAAATTTGTAGCCTGCGCTTGATAGGTTCCTAAATGTTAGTATGATGAAGAAGGATAAACCGAGCTTTCAAACTTATACTTTAATTCCATTGTATTTTATGTAACGTAGATGCTGCAAAACTTCTTTGCATAAAATCAAAAGCTTTATAACAAAACTTCGAAGTACAAAAAAGCTGAACAAAAATATTTAAAAATGAAGGATGAAGTTGGCATCAATGCACTCTGCCAAAAATGCGCTGAAAGCATTCTGGCAAGTTAGAAAAACTACTGATGGGCGCTACTCTTTACTCGTGGATGTCGGACGCTTATGAAAATTAGTGCTTTGATCTTTCCGTATTACTCTATTACCTATTCAACGCCCCGGAGGATAGAGGGCTTTAGCTAAGGTGCGGAGATTGTACTCTGACTGCGTGGGTCCTACTGACACTCCACTCTCTTTTTTATTGAGTAACTTTGCCAATACAAAACTGAAGGAGGGGATTGTCAAAGCAATCAAAACAAAGATTAGATTTCATGACCTTTGGGCATTTTTTGGTAATCAAATTTTGAAATATATTTGACTGCTTTTCTCCCATGGTTCACAGCGGAATATACAACCAGTAACAGCACGTCAAAGCGAATTATGTCAAAAACGGTTTCAAAAACTATGGGGTCTGGGAATGCTAAGGACTGCGGTGCAAGATTCATGGGGCAATCAAATATTCTACTATAAAACATTGTACTCACCACGATGTCGCTTGCATAAGCGTTTGGCATCGCAAATTTACATTCGTTATCAAACGGATGAAACAGTAGATCATCGTTTTCATACTGGGACGCCTCAGCGTTGTCTTGGCGTACATTTCGGACGTGAAACGATGATAAGATTTGTGGTACACTACTATTAATAGCAGAGCGATATGTTCCCATCCATCCGAAAATCGCCAGCACACTTACGATTGCCTAAAAAAGAGCTTTCGTTTGCTGAGACAAACTCAATAAAATTTGAATGTAACCTTTGATTCAACTGTTGGAGGCTAGAAGGCGGGCTTCGAGACCTAATTAAGACTAAGTATTGGTCAGACAGTAGACGGGAGAGACGCAGACTGTGTCGCGGATGCGAGCGGTTTTAATTAGGTCACAAAGGCCGGCCTTCCACCCTCCAAACCAGTTGGATTAAGTTTTAATACAATGATGATGTAACATTTCCTACTGCAAGGGCAAGAAGTTTCTAACACACTATTTTAAAGTCAAGTGTTAAGGATCATCGACTTATCAACTTGCTATTTATTATTAGACTGAAAAATCCCTTTTTCATGGCAAAGCTATACACGGATCCAAATTTGTATTTGGGGGAACGACGATAGAGATAAGCAAGTTCTGTAAGACAACCTCTAAACATTTGCATAAGGCATAACTTATGCAAACAATGAAAAGTCCATGTTCAATGATGACGGCAAAAATCGGATGTTTGCTCTTAAAGGCAGCGTTCACTCAAAATCTACTCATCCTAGATTACTACTTATCCTACTAGCAGACCAACCGCGTTGGTCCGGTCCATCAATGTTGCTTAAAAAAGAAGGTAACGGACCGGATCCTCTCTGCACTCCACATCTTTTCTTGCGCTCCACCCACCCACCCACCCATGGATTGCCCTAAGACGTGTTCTGACAAGGAGCGTCGAGACGCATAGTATCTATGTGATGTGGCACTGTTGCACATGATGGGGTTTCCTCAGGGTCCGGCAGAAATCGTCTAGAAGCAGGCTGGATTTCGTTTTTGGAGTAAAGAACAAAGGAGATATCGTTTTTGACGAATCGGGGCCGAGCAAAACTAACAAGCGCTATTTAGTCGAACAGAAGCTATTCGGACAGGTTATCACACGGTTGACATGCTCTATCGTGTACGGCGAAAAGTGCGCGCGATTTGAAAGCAAGGCTCAAATAAACAAATTGCTTGTTTACAGCGCACACAGAATCATATGACACCAAAATTGAACTGTGTATATAAAAAATTATTTGCGGAAGGATTATGTAAAAAGATTTGAAAACTTATGTGAAGTAATATCTATTCCAAAATTAGATCGTCTCCAGACGGCCACCAGACGATCTGAGATCGTCTGGAGCATATATATTCGTCACTTCACATAAGTTTCGGATCCTTCTAGCATGGACGGATTCTCCAGTCAAAAATCTATCCCCGAGCATGAAGACATTTTCATATCATTGCCTTTCCTTTGTTTTTTGCCTCAAATTCTTCATAAATCGCCTGTTATATATCGCGCTCCAATGCCAAACTCTTATGCATGCGTAGTATTCAGCTCCAGTTTGGATTTTCACTCGTATCTCACGTTTTTTCATCCAGACTAGTAAATCTTTCTTGTTTTCAGCTTCGTAAGCTGGTAGGTCAAAGAGAACTTCGTAAAACTTCCGAAAGTCAGGGAGAACTTCGTTCTCTGAGACCCTAGAAACCGACTCGTGCCGGGCCCTGGGTTTCCTGTAGCTTACGACGTGATAGTGCCGGGGCACTCGCCCACGTTTCCCAAATTAGGGCCTGAGAAAGGGACAATTTTGAAGTTTTTCGGTGATTTGAACCACATGTTCCGAATTAGCGCCATGGAAATCCGATAACAATAAAAACATGGAAGGCGATATTTTTGGTGTACGCTGCCTTTGAAAAATCCTACAAACCTTAGTGCATACAGCAGGCAAGTAAACTTCTATTCTTACGCTTGCTATATTTTTTTCTGTTGAAAACAAAACAGGAAATGCAAAATAGCAAACTCCGCTCCTAGCAGTCCTGGGTTTCTCCTATGTAATATGCGTACTACAAACTTACTAAACTTTAGCTATGGAATTTTGGTCTTTATACGCTCTGATTAGTGAGAAATATCAATTTCAATCAGAAAACGAGAAAAGCTGCAAATTTTTTCAGCCTGATATGAGCACTACAAAGCAAGCAACATTGATAAAAGTAGAAATTTTGCATTCTTGCACTTCTTTACCGAATAATATCGATAAATCAAAGAAACCCAGTCCCCGAATAAGATGCCTGGTTCTACCGTAAGAATAATGTCGGCGACACTTTGGACTTTTGGCCAATATAATCTTTATGACATTATGCAAACAAATGACTCCCTCTGAAAGATTATCTTTAGAATTTCCTTTTTCCCCACTTGGTGTACCTTTATGAAAAGGCATACAAATAAGTGATCACATAGAAGTTCGATTTTTAAAAAATCATGCCAATCCTGTCATCGTGGGTGAAAAAAGCAATTCGCAAAAAAATCCTGATTTCTATTCTCATGTAATAAGTCCATGAATGCACCGACGATAGAAACTGAAAGAGAAAGTAGCAATCTGAAGGATGTGGTCGTTATTGTGAAAGAGAAAGTAAACTGTGCGAAGCACTTTGCGAAGAGGAGATGAAAATTATATGGATACATTAAGCAGTAATTCACTGTCATATCACTTACGAAAATTCTGCTCAGAAACAAGTAATTTTTGTAGGATCAAGGAAACTGACCAAGAGATAGTAGCATGCTTTCTCTCTTCTATGCATTGAATGCCACGATCGGAGCTGATGGAAGTAGCACCTGAATATATATTCATCATACGAGAATTTCATTTTTTTTCAGGCTACATCTGCGACTGCAAATAACTACAAATGTGGACATATAAAGTAGGCATAGACTGCTCGGTTCTTGTTGGAATGCGAAAAACTGCATTTGAAAGAGCAGCTTTTTTTACTGTTGTTACTTAGGAATCACACCGAAAGTTATGGAATCGTTGCAAAATCAAAAGTTCTGGTACTCTACAAATGTAATAAAGATCCAAAAAACGTACAGGACTTTTCTCGTGCGGTTGAAAAGTTCAATTGCTGCATAATTACCCATAGAAAGTTTCTGGGCCATTCGCGATATATACGAAAGCGTTTACAGAGTCAATGGTTAAACGCAAGCATATTTGCGGAGTCTAAGAGAGTTACGTCACTCCTTTGAAAAGTTATTTTGCATATTCTATGAACCGGAAAAGTTTGTTGCTGTTAGGTTGCTGAACACTTCTTGCTGAAATCAAAAATTGCAAGCCAAACCTTTGAAAGCTAATACCAGCAGGTTTTGAATACTTCGTTATTTTCTCTAGAAATAATAGAATTAGGTAGTATTGAATATAGTTAGAACGAGCGAAAAATTTCGTCGAACGAATGAATTTCGTATAATCGGCTTTTGAAAAATATTCGAACGAACGATTATTATTCGATCTGTGATTTTCAGTTTATTCGAATTCGAATACAGAGTGTCCCAAAAAAATGTGAACACTGTTTGATCGTTAATAACTCCCTTGCTTTTATGTCTTCCGCCGAGCTTGAGGCACCATTCTATAAAGCGAGGCCTAACTTAGATCTACAGTATGGAGCGAGTCGTCGATCGCTCTTCATTACTGTAGGATTACGGTAGGAACTTTGACAAGGATGTTAAGCCGTTGGAAGCCATATTCTGCCTCAGAACAAAACCAAACAGGCCAAAAACTTTTATACATGGGTAATGGAAACCGCTGAGTTCGAATATGAAATTTCCACTTCACTGTGAAGCTTCCTTTCAAGGTTATTCCAGGTAAACCTTAATAACCGAATTTCCAGCATTTGTCAAAAATGTGATTACACCGTCAGAAAAGCTAAAAACATCCGTGAAAAGTTGCGTTATGGAGTCAGCGTGCGCGAAACCCTTAGTACACGATTTTTCAGATCTTTTGAAAAAAATTTTGTCAAATGGCATATTTCACAATAGATCCACATGCCAAAAGTTCATACCGTAATCCTACAGTACTGAGGAGCGACCGGTGATTCGCTCCATGCCGCAAATCTAAGCTGAACCTCGCTCTACAGAATGGTGCTTCAAGCTCGGCGGAAGACATAAAAGCAACGGAGTTATTAACGATCAAACAGTGTTCACATTTTTTTGGGACACCCTGTATTCGAGTAATATACATTTCAAAATTCGAATGAACGAATATTCGAATAAATGGGGTTGGTCGAACATTCGACTATTCGAATAATCGAATAATTACGTATAGTCGAATATTCGACTATTCGAATAATCGAATAATCTAACACCTGAAACGATGCTGGTTTTTTCTTTGTTGCGGTTTTCTGCAAAAAATTGATCGCTAATTTGATCTTTGTAGCTGATAATTATATGTATAGCAAGTGGTAGGAAGACTGAGTTATTGTCGTTGGTTAGGGTTCCACTTAGGGAACAGAAGAACTTCACTCAAACATGTAGTTCGAGGTGTTCATGGTCTTTTAAGATGGCTACCAAGACTTACTTAGTAATCGTTTCAAGTCCGCATTTATTTTTCCTCACAGAAGTTTCTCCATGCTACACAGGACTTTTTCCCAAAGCTGAAGATTTAACATGGAAAACATTTTAGATTAGGTAGTTCTTTGCAATTTAATCGTAATGGTCAGCATTGCGCTAGTTCTAAGACTAGCACTGGAGGAGCACGAGGAAGGCCTACAGTAATAGAATATATGAACCTCTGCTGTTGTACCGAAAGTTTTTCCGTTTTTTCAAATTAGTATCAAACCACGCACAATAAAGACTTGAATGAGCTACAGCATTCTATGCAGCTTTTCCTTCTCTTTTTTAAGAACACATTTTCGAACTACAATGTTGCATGCTTTTCTTGATAATTGCCAAAATTCTCCATCCGTCAATTTTATCTGCTCAAAATTAGGCTACTTTTTTAGAATTTCATTTCAAAGTTTCGGAGAGGACTAACATGGATCAAACAGAGCAATTCTCGGAATACAGAGTAATATTTTAGATTCTCTTAATTTGCTGTTTTTAGCTTGATAAACATTATATCCGCGGAAGTCTCGATTTCTGGCAAAGTCATGAAACATGCAACTGCAGCAAATACACGAAAGCTTTTGAAACTTTTGCCAATTGAAATATGATTCTTATCAAACATTATTTACGCTACTTAAGCAAGTTTTATTTGCTTTGAAAAGTAGCTTTTTGGAATTTTCGGTACTCTTACGTGGTAAACGTAATCAAAAACGCGCAGTTTTTATCAAACAAATAATTATAACGAGCTTGGTAAACATGGTCCATGTAATCTAAAATGGGTACAATGTAGCTAAAGGCTTGCTCTACATGATATTCATCAGCGCTCTTTGAAAACATCAGGATAAAAATTTTTGAAACTCAGTAAAAATTTGGCGTTACTTCTAAGCTGCTCAGGAAGCCGTGGCGATAACATTGCAAAAACAGAGTAGATCAGAGAGCAAATGCAGCTATAAGAAAGAAGATAAAAATCTGTATCAAATCTTACCTAAGTTGATCATGGATCGGTGTTCTGTGAGTTCTAGTGAGCGATGAAAAAAAACGGACAAAACTTCCAGGATAATCTAATACTTCTGTGCTCATCTAAATCCAGAAAAAGAAAACTCGTGAAAATCTGTATATTAGCTGATAATCTAATACTTGTCGGGAATTATCAATCCCCGAGTTTCACAGTTTCTGCTGTAGGAGTGGATTCTCACAAATTTGTTTTAGTTGTATTTTTGAGGTTTGTACTTTTGTTGTAAGGGATCTTCCATATCTTTTACTCAGGTTCAAAATAATTATTGTTCAACCTACACGCCTACTCGGAGTATTATTCCTCTACGAACTTTGCAATGATGCAAAGTTTGTAGAGGAATAATATGTACTTCGAGTAGGCGCCTACACGCGTACTTCGTGTAGGCGTGTTCTAACATTAGTTTTCTACGCCTCCTGACTATAAGGGCAGCTGATTTGAGTATATGACTCACATATACAGCCGCTTCATTTCATATGATCATGTGTGTCACTGCACACACAGTTCACCTTTGGCGCCCCCATCCTGGATTCGTGGGAGAAACAAGCCTTTAGGTAAGTGTTTCCAAGGTGTTCTTAGCATTTTCTTTCCTTTTTAGTTACTAGTCACCTCAAATTGATGTAATCAATAACAATCGGTAAGTCTCTTGCGTTTTTGCGATTGCAAATCCAGGATGAGGACGCCAAAGTGGACTGTGTGTGCAATGGTACACATGATCATATGTAATGAAGCGACTGTAGGCTGCCGCCACAAGTCAAGCGGCTGAGGTCCTCACGAATGCCTTGCTCTGGCCTTGCGTTGTAATGTATCTTTAAGGTATTTTGACACGCGAGCGGTGATTAGGCTGGCAAGGCAAATGAAGACCTCGAGATGAAGGAATGAATGTTGCCTATACCTGCTGCCTTAAAGGACTGCTGGTCCTTCACATGCTTATGCAAGCCGTTTGAGGACCAGTGGTGACCAGTGGTGCGTTGGGCGCCTAATGATGGCTTTGCTTCTTTACCCAATTTAGAGCTTGGAGGTATCTGCGCATGATTACGCGTCTCAACTTCTCAGACGCGATTTCCAGAAGATAGTTCATCACTCCAAATGAATTATGTAAAGGGCTAGTCATCACTATGCTCTGGCATGACTCGCGACTCATGCCTCAAAAAGGGAAGCTTGCTAGCCATTCTGTCATGATAATTCATTTGTGTGATTGACCGATCGGGGACATACTTTCACTCAGTGTAGAACAGCTAAAGTTTTCTTTTGACTCGAATGTTCGAATGAATGCTCTTAAATATTCGAATATTCGAATGACTGTCTTTCAAGTTGGCTCGAATATTCGAATATTCGAACAACTCATTTTTCCAAATCATCGAATGAACGAATTATTCGAATACAGGCCTTTTTCATTTATTCGACTATTCGAATAATCGAATAATTGGACTGTTTTGAATATTCGACTATTCGAATATTCGAATAGTCGAGTATTTCGAATAAATTATTCGAACACGAATATTCGGTTCTAACTATAGTATGGAACTGGAATGGGTAGTATGGAAAAATCACGTAGCCATTCATCCCATATCGAAAAGAAACAAGCATCATGAGCTCACTTTGCCAAAAAGTCAACGTTGAAAACGAAAACGATTAATCTCAAAAACATGAAAGATAAGCTGGTATGAACGGATGGTGCACTCGAAATTCATAAACTGCATGTTTTTGTTGAGAGGGTACCATTTTTTGACTCATTTGGTTTAGAGAATAAGCACAATGCGATGATCTAATGCTCTATAAGGCGCTACTGGAACTTTCATGGAAATATAGCTTCTTCAATCAATGCATCACATTTTTCGATGTGGACAACTAGAAATCAAAAGCCAGCTTTTTTAATGAGAAAATTTGTCTTATAATCTTTGGAAATACTCTAAATAAGCTAAGAGCATTGAAAGGAGTTAACGCTTCACGTAACTTTAGACATAAAATCAGCTTTGATTGATCTTAAGACAAAGGGCAGTTAAAATATCTCTGATAAGTATTGTTGATGCTAAGATTTATCAGCGTAGGGAGAAAGCGACAAGTACAGTTGAGTCCCGTAAAAAGTTAAGGCCCAGTTGTTTAAGATTAGTGTGCTTATCCATATTGATATGATATGGGTGTTTTTTCGTACATAAAACATCAAACCACAGCGAGAAGGTAAAAGCACAAAAGTTTGATCATGTTCTAGGTAAAACAGATTGAATACCCTTTCTGCTTATGAAGGGTGTGATACTTTGCTCTAAATAGAATACAGGGTGCGCCAAAATTATTTGCGCCAAGATATTCAAAGTAATGTCACAACAATGGCAATGAGAAATCTGGTCTGGATTTAATGTCACAAAATGCCCTAAGCATACTATACAAGATGCACTATCAAGATCCCAAAGCGGTCCTTATTTAGAGAAGTAAGAATTGCAAAAAAGCAACGTTGGCAACAGAAAAAACGCAAACTGACGCAAATTATTAAATAGTCAAAATTTTTGTTTGGGATGCTCCTAAAGATTCACATCAATAATCTTAAAGTCAA